AAATTCTAAGTTCTTCATTTTTGATTATCTAATATAAGCAAATTTATATGGAATTTTGGGTTTTTTTATTTATTCAAAAATTTTTTTTGTTCATGAATAAGAATTGCTTTAAAGATTAACACATAATCATAAATTAAACTAACTTTTTTCATATTTTGAATCCAAAATTTATATTTTGATTTTTAGATGATAATTGACAAATCTATTTTTATTGGGTTCATTTTGCAAGTTTGCATTGTTAATTCTAATAATTATTTACTATTATTTTAGGCAATCTCATCTTAAGAAGCTAACTAATTTGTTGGATCTATAGAATCTATGATGCTGTACTAATCCTCAAAAATTATTATCTTCATCATCTAGATAAAATAAACATAGGTTAGGTTTGATTTGGAAAACCAATTATTTTAGGAATGTAGGCTGAAAAATTACTCGACAAAAAAATCGTTAATTAATGAATTGTATATATTGGATTCAGGTAATTAAATATTTAATAAAGTTTTTGAATCTTATAAAATTGTTGGATTGACTTAAGATGACATTAATGAAAAACTTTTTTTAACATTTTAAATACTTTGAAATAACCTGACACCTCAATAGGCCAGAAGCAATCATTGAAATTTTTCAGAGAACTCCCTCCTTAATTGCTGAAAGAAATTTGTTTTTGGCTAATCAAAAACTAATTAATATTACCTCGAAATTAAAAAAAAGAAGAGAGAATCTGAGAAAGTTTAATATAAAAAGAAGAAATTATGAAATGAAATTATCATATTCTCAACTTAGAATGAATAGCAACATTTAAAAACAATAATCATTGAAATGAATATTTATCAATGTAAACAAATATTATAAAAAATGAAGGCACTATTGAATTATTTTTCTATTGTTAAACAGATTATATGGAATGATTTTGGTTAAAAGAAATATCATAGATTATTTAGAGCCGAAAAAATAGCAAAAGCTTGTATCTAGAGACGAATTGAATTAATTTATTGATTTTTTTACTAAAAATAGTTAAAGGGTATATTATGATGAGCTAATAACATTTTATTATTAAGATCAAAATCAAAATTCTAACTTAAATGAAACTTTTTATAGAAGACAATTTTTAGTAAGAATTGTCATAACCTTTTGTAAATAGGTAAATAGTAAATATAAACGAATCTAAAAGAAAAATGAATTAGATCTTAATGTCTTATTAAGAAGTTGTAATAAGATCGTTAATTAATAGTTTCTTAATATAAAGAATTAAAGATTATAATCTAATCAATGAAACTTAGCAATTTCAAATAATCAAAATCTTGGATAATTATTTCATTAGTAATACTATTAAAAGATATAAAAATTATTTGTATCATAATTTGCCATCATTCAACATATTTAGAAGCCTAAAAAACATGAATTAAGATTTTCTACAAAAGAATATTTAAAAATAACCGAACAATATAATTAAATTATTTCAATGTTTTCATTTATCTTCTTATTATTTTTGTTACTAAATTAAATAATAACTAATCATTCGATAAATAATATTTAGCAAATCTATCATGATAATAGCTTTAATGATTTAAGAAGAATGCAAATGTGTTAATTACTTTTAATTTTCTTTAAATATTTATGACACACATTCTTATAGTTTCTTCATTGCACTTATTGTATTCAATTAAAATATTTGTCAGTGTTTAATTATATATTTAAAGCAGCATCATGGATATTAAAATTTTCATAACAATTGTTATGATTAATGAATAATCATTCCCTAAATTAAGATAAAAGCCAATAAGACTTTGACAGTTTCTATTTTTTATAAATTCATAAATTATTATTAACAATATTTAACTTTCATTCAATTTAATTTAAGCTTTCCAAAATACAACTTCCTCTCTATTCAAAAAATTTGCATAAATCTTCTCCCCAAGTAGTTTAAAATTGTCCTTACAGGATTAAAGCTCCATTTGATAATAAAAAAGGATATGTAGATAAAACAAGAATTGCGTAATTAGGATTAACTATATAGAATTAAAAATTAATACCACAAATCGGCAGTTGATTTTTTTAGAATTTAGTAGTCTTACATTTTTTAAGAATTTCATTAGAATTGTTATGCTAGGTTTGAATGTCCTTTCCAGTTTTAACATCCCAAAGACGAATAGAGTTATCATCACTACCAGATGCTAATATACTTCCATCAGGAGAGAAACAGACTGAGTTGACGTCTTTAGTATGACCATCCAATTTGGTTATTTATAATCCTGTTTTCAAATCGCATAAACAGATAGATTTATCATCACTACCAGAAGCTAATGTATTTCCATCAGGAGAGAAACAAACTGATTTGACTTCGCTAGTATGAGAAGCTACTTCTCCTATTTATTAACCTGTTTTGAAATTCCATAGACGAATAGAGTTATCATTACTACCAGAAGCTAATGTATTTCCATCGGAAGAGAAACAGACTGACATAACATAACTAGTATGACCATCCAATTTGGCTTTTTATAATCCTGTTTTGACATCCCATAGACGGATAGACTTATCATCACTACCAGAAGCTAATGTATTACCATCAGGAGAGAAACAGACTGAGTTGACATAATGACTATGACTATCCATTTAATACAATTCGTTTATTTATAATTATTACCAATCTCCATTTAAATTAATTCATTTGATATTCACATTCTTAAATTAGGACTTAGATAAATTACACTTAGCATAATTACCTCCAAATATATTAGTATTTTCTATTCTTATATTTTCAAAATTTTAGTTTGTTAGATCCACCTACATTTCAACCAATAAATTTATTGCATTAGACCCACTTATTGTAAATTTATTATCTATCTTAGTGAGATGAACTAAGAATTTCAAAAATTCT